ACAGTAAGATATCTGATAAACCAGCAAAACCTTGTTAGAAGTCTAAGACGGAGTGAGATGTATTCTTATGTATTATTATTTTTTAAATCCTTACCAGAGGATATGTTTTTCATTGATTCCAGAGAGAGAGGAAGGGAGAGGGAGCGGGAGAGAAACATCGATGTGAGAGGAGCAATCGGCTGTCTCCCGTATGCGCCCTGACCAGGGATCCGACCACAACCCGTATATGTGCGCTGACCGGGAATCACACCAACGGCCCTTTGGTGCAGGGGAAGACACTCCAATGAACTGAGCCACCCGGCCAGGGCGAGACATATTCTTATCAAAATAACTCGGGAAACAAAGCTGCCTCAATCAATGAGGATAACCTGGTACTTTTATGGTGTTTTAAAAATTAAAACAGTGACAGCAACAGAACCTACCACTATTTCCTACTAAAGTTAAAAATGTAACCCATGGGGCTGAGAATTCAACCGCTTCAAATTGTTAAAAACTAGGAAATTAGCTAACTTTTGTTGATTGCCTATTTTGTCACTTTAAATAAAAACAAGAATATAGTAGAGTTCCCTAGTGAACTTTTGTTTCCAACTGGTTTTGGAATTTTAAAAAAGTTAATGTGAATATTACAGATTATTCCCTTTATATCTATAAGAGACTCTAACTTTCCCATTAGGATTGTGAGACACACTGGGTGTTTGCAGCTGATGGCAGCTGGTGGATTGTCCAATCACAACCCCTCCCAGTAGGGTTCCCTTTAAACTTCTATTCCTCCCTGGACACATGTCCTTATATACACAAACACAAGTATCTAAATTTTGAGATTTGTTATAATCCTGAATTTGTCTCCTCAGAGTGGATTTTGTCACTTTGTATTCCAGTTTCAGGATATAGCAATCCTGAAGCTCAGAGATTTCCAAATTTGACAGATTTATGATCCTTCTCAATAGAGCCTTTGTAATTCTAGATACATGTGACACGCGGGGAAAGTGACTCTGATTGCTTGAGTCCTAATGATGGGATGTAGCAATTACAGTTAAAAAACACCCTTATTTTAAAACAAGCAATAAAAACACTTGCAGTAAAAAGGATAGCAGTTTTAAACTAATTAGAATTCTAAAATTTTCAAGAATATACACCTCTGGAAATTAAAAAAAAACCCTGGCATCCAAAAATAAGTCAGAACATAACAGCACTCTCTCTCAAAATGTTCTTGAGAGTAAGGAAAGAGGTGTTATTTTCCCATTTCATAGGTGGATACGTAGGGCACACAGAGATTAATCTGCCCAGGGATGAGGCTAGAAAGCAAAGCCTGGGCCTCCTTACACACCTCTGAGCCTTTTCCTTTAGATGTAAAATGAATAATTGTGCTGAAATCTTCACCACCTAACAACAGGATCTACATGTAACCCCTCAAAGTACTGTTGATGGAGGAAGGATATGAGCCTGAGGTAATCCAGACTGCCACATGGAAAAGCCATCTGGGAGGGTATTTTGAAAGAAACAGATGAAAAAGGAAGAGATTCTTTTGAATGTAGTGTAAAATTTACATTATCCTCCATGAACTTCCCTGTAGTCCCGGTGTTTATATAATTCATCACTGTGTCCTTAGGCGATGTAGATTAAGAAGCCCAATGAGCTCATGCAATTTTTTTTTTCTGTTTCTGAGTCTGAACTCTCCTTTCAAGGGCAAATCTGGAGCTGGGTCTGTGAGGCAGCCAGACTGATCAGTGAAGACCAACCCCATCCATCTGTGGCTTCCTGGATATTCCGGATTGCCTTGGGAAAATTTTTTGATTTCACTTATATCATTTCTTGGTGTTATTCCTGCCCAATCTGCAATCAGTTCCAGCAATCTCCACATGTGGTCTATTTGTTTCTGCCTCTCTACTTCTGAACAGTCATTCATCTCATCTATAAGGTCTTCCTTTCTTTCCCCCAATCTGTCTCCATCTTCCCGTTTGCAGCTAAACAACAAATCAAAGCTCTTCCAGGAATCATCTCCTGAATGATCCCCTTGTGTCATTCTGTATCCTCCATGTACCTCATAAACGTTGATATTCTGTGTTTCAGATGTTCAAACCTCTTGTCATGTGTGTTCACTGAGCACCGTCACCCCTGGCTGCACATTAGGATCACTTGGGGCGTTCGTAACAAATGCTAATGTTTGAGTCTCCCGACCAAATAATCAGAATCACGGAAGGGTGGGGCCATTGGCATGTAGGTAAATATTTAACGACTTCCTCTCCAGGGAAAATAAGTCCAGATTTGTAGTATTTGTCAATTTTCACGGTGTAAATATTTCCAACATAGTGGATTTCAAACTACCTACTTGACATTGCTGAACGTAGATATGGAAAAGATGCTCACAACTGGCTCCCAACAGCCAGTTCTAGCACATGCCACACACCACCTGGTGTATATACGTGAGATACATGTGCCATGTATATGGTGATATATAAATGTATACGGCATATACATGGTGATATTGGTAATAACCACTTAGATATACATGGTCACTCACACACACACACACACACCCATATACATAGTCCTCCTTATCTGTGGTTTTGCTTTCTGTGGTTTCAGTTATCTGCAGTCAACCTTGGCCCTAATATATTAAATGGAAAATTTCAGAAATAATAAGTTTTAGATTGTGTGCTGTTCTGAGCAGCATGGTGAATCTCACACTGTCCCACTCCATCCCGCCTGGGGCGTGACTGGGACGTGAATCGCCCCTTTGT